GCAGTTAATGAATAGAAATTGCCTACAGCATGAACAGAATTCAAGAATATAGGAATATATAGCAATAATGTGTTATTTGATAGAATTAATGGGGATAGTAAATGCGAATACTGTAGTTAGAATAGCCTAGAATATCTTTGGGTCTGATTAGGGTTATAGCAGCACAGTTGATTGAGCAGTACATTAATATAAATAATTTGGGAACAAACTACAAATGATTCAGGAACTGGGTCAAATAGTCTTCCATTTAAATGTCAATTTCATCCTAATGCCAGAATGTGAGGAAGAGCACAAAGTAACCTACCAAATAATGAAGTGTCCAGAAAGATCGCAAAGCAAATTATAGAGGATTAAAGCCTGCTACCATTTTGAGCCGGCCACGGCGAGACAGATAAAAGATCGACAGATTAATCATGGTCACAGAACAATACACAGAAGACATTCCCTCAAATAAAGTCAACATCAAGGCAGTGTTCTTTCAGTTTTACACAAAATAATCTATAATCAACTTTTAGCACGAATTAAAGGACCCGATCACATAAACGGTGATATAGAATAGAGGAGATCAACGTGTAGGCAGGGTGTTTAACAAATAAAAAAACTGATTAATACTCATAATGTGTAGATCCACATACATATGCATATTAGCTGGTTATTAGACCAAACGTATAAAAAATGTTCCTAAAGCAGATTGATAAGCTCAATTCTGAGCACAAAATAAGCAGATAGATTGAGACAATGCGCCAAGTGGTAGCATATGAAAGCTGAGCTAGCGTAGAATGAGGTGGTTTCATAATATTCTTTGAATAGTTAAAATGAGAAGTGCTGCGATTCAACCGCCCTGGCTCCATTCATTCAATAGATATTTTCGTATTACACCAGGTCTTTCCGGGCTCATTATCTATGAACAGAACAGCAAATTTGGTTTGGAGATACTCATAAGTTTTCATTAATGTTTCATGCATTTAAAAAGGCTGTTATCGAACTGTGAAGTCAAAACAAAAGATATTAATACAAATGCTTCGACCTCGCCTCCCTCCCCCGACCAACAGCACCCCAAATGCTGCTCGAACCCAGGCAATGTAAGGTATAATCTCGACACATTACCACCTCATCACCCTGCCACGATTGCCCATGGGTCATCGGGCATACTTCAATAAAAAAAGACCAAATCACATTTATAATGTGATTGTTGATGAGGCAAAATTGTATATGGCCATTAGAATCGATTATATTACGTATATTCATATTGCATTGTATTCACATTATACTATATTCACAGTGCTTATATTCGAAACTACACCATCTGAGAAACAAGACTAAGTGAAATTCAATGGAATCATGAGACCTGCTCATCTCATTGTGGGAAAATTCACCATCAGCTCTTCATCACCTTAAGCGATCAAGAGTGACTAAAGCTCTTTTAAAAGATCCACTGATAATCTCGAAATCCTACGCAATTCGAATATAAAGCATAAAGCACTCTAATAAAAAGCTACGCTTAAATAAAATAAAGCTAAAAACCAACTCGTACCAACAGTAAATTTTTCATGGCTTGTCGGGATTTGAAGTAAGAATGGAGTTCATCGAAAATTGAAACACGTGTTTTATGTAAAAATTTATGAGGGGATATATTAAGCCTTATGAAATTTGGTATAGCCTTCAGGTTGACAAAAATCTAACTGCAGTTGCCTTTATGGTAATGCTTTTGGCTCATCTAACGTTTTGAATGAAAGAAAAAATAAGTAGACATTTCACTAATTCATCAAAACACTTAGTAAATAAAAATCTGACTAATCTATACCAAGTTTAAACGAGATGAAGTAGAGCAAAAATAATTAAATATGAGGCCAAGTCATATCATTATGGGAAGTTTAAACCACCAATCCTTCCTAATCCCATGCGACCTAGGATGGTTGTAATTCTCATAAATAGAAAGTATTTTAATATAGTAACCTTTGGCCAAACGTAGGGGAATAATTTGCTTAAGCTGAACAAGGGGTTGAAAAGATCTACATCTAAGAGAATTTCGGTATAAGATGTCTTTAATGTGGGCTTTCAACAAAGGCGTACAGCAATATGGATAACTTTTGTCTAAATAAGAGCCTCAATAATAACTTGGATCAGGCCCAAGGCGGTAGGAGTCGGAGGAAAACATGGAAGTCTCTATTAAAGTTAGACCTCATCTCACATCAACTGTAGTGAAAAATAAGGACATAAATATGTGCCCCATAAGGGCACATAGTCAAACCACTAATGCGAGATTAATACCTAAAAGAAAACTAAGGAACTTACCTGAAGGTTTGGGCAGTTGAACAAGTCAATTGGGATAGAAGATGCATCAGAAAGACAGTTTTTGCGGCAGTTCAGGCAACGTAAGGCTGGAAACAGCTCCGACCACTTCTGAAAGAGAGATAGACTCTGCAGCTGGTTTCTGGACAATGTAAGGCTCTCTAGGCGAGTGAGCTGAGCTAACTGATGTGGTAGGTCACCGCCAGTCAGACCGGTAGAACGAAGTTTTAACCATTGAAGCCTGCACATACTACCCAAAATATCAGGTGAAGGCCACAGCCCGTTAGGCATAGGGGGTGAAGTGCCGGAGCCAATAGTTGTGGACTTATTATTGCTGCCATGGTCGATCGAGGTTGAACGAGTATGTGAAGTTAAAGTACCTGGACCAAAGTGGACCTCTGATATGTCTAACCCTCTTAGGTATTGCACAGCGCCCTTCGTCATATTGAGAGAAAGTGAAGATAGGAATTATAGACCTATTGATGACAGGATACGTAGCTGGATAAACGAAAAATAAAGATGAAAGATGCGAATGAAAAAGGACAGGGACAAGGGAGACTGAGCAGTGAGAAAAGCCTAGGATCTAAGAGTAAGGATATATATATGTAGTCGTGGAAGAAGAAAGGGAGAACACGAAAGTAGTACAAATTAATTATTCTCGCAAATCCGCGTTTGAGCAGCGGCAGAGATACGGTTGATGCGTTCCTACAAAAGGGAATAGAGGGATATAAAAAGTCATCTTCCAAGTTTACATTCATATCATCCTAGGAAGTTTATAGAAAATATTGGCAATCACCAATGAGATAATAGTAAACAGATATCTATACCAAATAGGTTGATTGGGTTTCCAAATGTCAATCCGTTAACATAGGAAAGAGATGAGGCAAGACGTCAGATTATATCTAAGGAATTAAACATATTTCAAGAAAACGAACAGTGGAAAAAAGTATGCAAGTTGATTTTGGTGTGAATCCTTTAAGGAAGATAGGATTTGCCTGAGATTCAAGTAAAAATTCACTAGAGGAAGGTATGTCGATAAAAACGATGAAAATATTACTACAGAGTCTACTTCGATTTTAAATAAGTGTATAAAAGGGAGATTTAAAGATCAAACAAGGCGAAATATTCCTCTAGAACAGCTGCCGTTTGATTTTACTTGCAAATTTAATTTGAGATACATTCATGGCTGAGAAAATTCGTCTGGCAGTCATTTATCACCCTATGTTTCGCTCATAAGTAGAGCTTCGAGACTTTTACGAATTTATTTACGAAAAATAAGTAATGTAGTCGACTATTGAAGCAAATATAACTTTGTTTCATCAACAATCCCACCAAAGAATATGGCATGGGAAAATATCTGACCTTCCTTAAAATTCACAACTGCCCTCTGATCCAAGGGCACTCATAGCAAAGTGGCGTAATGGTTGACATGTAAAGATTACACGCTGCATCGTAATGGTTTGACTCTCTCTGGGGGTGTTGCTAAGAGCTAGGCGGGGTCGAAACTGCAATCCACTTCTGTCTGGATGAGAACAGCTTTTAGGGAAGCAAGGCTATGTGAAATTCAATGTAAACGTCGACTCTACTCATATCATGGTGGGAAAATTTAAGTATCAGTCCTCTATAATCTTAAACGAAATAAGGTTAATGCAGCTTACTTTATTCTGCTTGAGGTAACTATAGTTCCTAAATTATCACACACCCAAAAACACACTAATCATGATCGATTAAGAGTCTCAACTTCATAAAAAAGATTATAGATGGTGTGAACTAATCAAAGTAATATTTTATTTTACTCACACCTGTAAATACTAGCAAGAATAATTCCGAATCTTACGGATAAAAAAAGTAAGCAAATATTAAAATAAGAGCATAATTTAGGTGTGCACACATAGGAAAGAGATAGGTACTATACCTGAGACTTTTGTAATGAGCTGAGTACGGTGAAAGTGCGGGCCCTAATGTCGTTGAGTTTAGTTAAGTGAACTTGAAGCTCAAATGGTTGGCTCACAAGTTCAGATATCTTGCATAGCTCTAAAGAAAAAATGAAATTTTTAGATATGGGCCAAAGGTAAGATAGATTATATAAATAGCTGAATATATTAACGAAATTTTATCACGCTTATGAATGAGGGCCGTGACAATTGTGGGTGAGACGAAACTCAATTATCGGGCAAGGATTCGCTGTCCGTCAGTAAGTATCTCAGGGATTAGTGGCTAGGCTATTCATGAGGTTAACAGAGCTACTAAACATTGCTGATAAAGCCCATTGCCTCTTTGATGAGGTGTAATATGGTGCTACGAATGGCGAGACTCACTGACGATGCCGACTACGATGCCTGCGAAACGTCTGGGAATGTACCACGTCCACGGTACTACTCTGGGAATGATGATGCATACAATGGACTCCGGACAAGGTGCGTTTCTCTAAGTCTTCCTACCAATATGACCGAGTTGCGAAAACAAGGTCAAACAACTTCCATACAACAAAAAGAGACTGCGACCACACAAAAGGCCACAACATCTTGGTCTTCATACCTTCGATAAAATTTTATTTTTTTATTTTTTTTCAAATACAAAAATTAAAAGAAGCGAAGCACAAGCCTAGCGATGAAATCCTATCAGTCAATGCATAATATCTAAACCAAAGTACATAGATAAAAGATAGCAAAAGCAAAATAGGGGAAAATAAAATATGATGAATGAAGACCAAGAAGATGTGGCCCTAGGTTTGGTCACAGGCTCCTTTAGCTTAAATGGCCAAACATCTAGATAAGAAGCTTGGTAATATGAAATTAGGTTGAGGAAAGAGGAGGTTGCAATATGAGTCTGGGATAAAAAGAGAGGAGAGATAAAACCATCGTAGAACAGAAAATTGATTCACAGGATTGCCTTCATGCATCACTTAGACGAGTCGTGACTATGTGCTAAAGTTGGTATTACCCACTGACGCTACGGACTATGATGCCGGTGAAGTATCTGGAATCTACCACGTCGCAAAAACGAGGTCATATTAGCTCAACAAAATATGATAATCGTAATTCTAAATAACAAGTTGCAAAGCCGAGAATTAGAAAAAAGAAAGAATATAGTGAAAACAAAAAAAATAGGTACATGAAAAGAGATAAAAGAGTGGTGTTAAGATATCTACGTCAGCATTTCGTTGAAGTATAGAACGTTTCTTACATCTTTGAAGGACACAATTCTTTATGGACACGAAAGAATGATCGATAGCAGTCAATTAAGCACGTGTAATATTCATATTCAGATAGATTAAAGGATAGCTTAATAGTTCAATTAATCTAAGTGTCATATTCACTCGTGATACATTAACAAAAATGCTTTCCTGTAACACTGATACGATCCTTAATCGTACCCGAATAATTTAGAGCAAAAGGTCTTCAAAATCGATAGACGAGTGGGGCAATATCCATTATTTTTGAGTTCTATCTAAAAAATACTATATCAATTCTACAATTAAAATTTTTAATAGAATAAAGAAAAAAGTAAAAGAGCTTAGACCACGGCGTCTCAAAGGTACTACTCAAGCAACACATTAACAAGCATATTTCAGACTTACCTTCGGAGAGATTGTCGATCTTACGTTTAAGATCAGCTTGGACAGTCAGAAGTTTGGTGATTTGCGCATCGACTTTACTGAGACTTGGTTTCAGCAGGCCGTTGAACAAATTCAATGTTAGGAGATCAGTAGTGGTTTGCTGGGCATTAGCCGACTTCGTTGGGTGGGATATGGCCTCTTTATCTGCAAAAGTGAGTACAGGCGATTCAAAGAGAGAGGATGGCACTGATGGTTGGTTGACACATATGCTAGCAGGACCAAATGGGCTCGAGGAGCGACATACCACTGAAGCTGGGCGAGAAGAGACAGATATTCGAGTAGATGCAGATTTATGGGCCGTTAGAATGGTAGGAGCTTGTGCTACAGAGACATCTAGGCCAGTGGAGGCTGAGGAGATACTGTCAAATGAGGAGGTGACAAGGCTGGTGTTGGGTTCAGGTGACGCTTCAGTCGTGGTGGAGTCGAGTGACAGACAGGCCGTAGGGTCGCTCTAAATATTGACGAAGCGAAAATAAGTTTACTGGCATTCAAGCAAATAATATAAATTTAGTATAGTACTTACAGACTCATGATTGAAAACGAACAGGAACTTTAGAGTGTTTTTACGAGGCCATTTAAAGGGAAATATACCTCAAGCATCATCTAATATACAAAGTTAGAATCCATTGATAAAAGCAATTAAATTTTGAACTGACTCCATCACTTTGAAGAAAAATATATGTGAGCTGTTATATATTTCGCTTGAGCTATTACTACTGAGAAAATTAACTAGAAGATAGGCGATA